AATAACATTATGAAAGTCATGGAATGATCCTGTAACTGCATGTACAATGAACTACACTAAAGCAGTACTGCTGAGTGTATGGTACCAGCAAAAATTAATATTGAAAACAATACTAATGCAATGGATTATAATTCAGTGGTAAGAAATCAGTTACCATTAAAAAAGGATGTAAATGTTACAAGATGAAACGTAGAATGTCCTTATAGATCATACCAAGTAGTTAATTATTGATAATAAATTAATTTTAATACTTAATAACCACTAACATTGATTTATTATCATCACAACACAATGAATGACTGAATTGTTATCAGTATCTAACAATAAAAAAGTTTCCAATTACAATAACAAGACTATAATTATTTTAAGCTACTACAGCCTCAAACACATTCTCTTCACTACTTAACATAAATCTCATAATAAATAACAGGACTGTCTTCTTCATTTCCCTCAGAACCATTATCAGCACACACCCTCAACTCAATATAGTCAGTAGTGGTAGTGTTACCATAGTCTCTGTGAAACCATGGGATACCAGGAACATTACAACAAGGTGATTCAAGAGAACCACAACCTTGACCATCCCAGAGTGGATCAGATGTGTAGAGAATCTGTGATGTACCACTACTATTAGAATTTCCTGATTCACAGAAGTAGTTATTACCAATAAAAGATTGCACTGATAACGAACTACCATTATTACATGGACATGAATTTGAACCAAGTTCAGTATGACCAGAAATCAGTGACCAGACATGTTGACGAGGAGACCCACGAGTGATACTAACACCTTCAAGATAAGCAGAATCAATACTACCGTAAGTATGAAGACCATCAGTGTGACCATATTGATATCCTGTTACTCTACCACATATCTGAGAATAACTGATACCATTAGATGGGAACTGAACTGATACACAACCACCACCACTGTTAGTCCTACCACAAGCTCTAACTCCTCCTGACTGGTACAGTCTAAACCCAGAAGGACAGTTCTGTGTAGCATCAGACATATCCAGATATGCTAGTCTTGTCCATCCTCCTCCTGAACCACATTCCTCAGCTAGTTCCAGCTCCTCCATATCACAATACATGTATCTCCATTCATTTCCTTTGCTTACTATATTATAATATCCTGATGAACTCTCTGGCCAATAATTCTTAATATCCTCACAAGATAAAGTAGCTGCTGCCTGACAAGAGGATGATTCCTCATCATTAGCTAATATAATATACAGTACAGGTCATTATAATGAAGATATTGTAGTACTAATGATTACCTGAAGATATGTTAAAGCAGTGGAGTAGGACAATACACAAGAGAACTGGTCTTAACATTTTAAAGAAAGAAGATATCAACTAACTGAATATCAACTAGTATAAGCAGATTTATAGACCACACAAACGTTATTGATATGATAAGAATTCTACACATAACTAATGGTGTAGTAAACTACTATAGTGGAATATTTTTAAAGGGTTTCATCATCATTAGATGTAAACTTGAAATAATAGCTAACACTTTCTTAATCCTGTTCGTTTTATACAAAGTTTACCCTAGACTTTCAGTTTAAAGAAACATTTTGTGAATCTTTAAGCATAAACACATACATACACAATAAATAGCCTAATGGGTGACTATAAATAGAGTAGTCCATATAAGGACAAAAATAAATTTACTCTAAAAGTGCATAATTTACCAAAATGTGAAATTGGAATGATAGTACACTCACTAAAATAGTCAAATCAAGTTATCTTTTATATTACAATAACATTACTGAAGTCATGGAATGATCCTATAACTGCATGTACAATGAACTACACTAAAGCAGTACTGCTGAGTGTATGGTACCAGCAAAAATTAATATTAACAACAATACTAATGCAATGAATTATAATGTAGTGGTAAGAGATCAGTTACTATTATAAAAGGACAGAGAAAAGGTTATGAGATGAAATATAGAATACAAAATGTCTATATATTTATATTATACCAAGTACATGTATTAGAGTTCATTATTAATAACGAGACACCTACGGTGCATGGCCTCGCCCCTATAGCTGCTATGGTGCATGCCCGCACTTCAATAACTGTTTGATTATCAGCATGAAGAGAGTCTGCTCAACACTAGCTTCCTGCAGTTGCACTTGCTCTTGAATACCTGCAGAAGTAGCAGCACTGCAGCACATACATGCAAGCAGCTCCAGCCCCTCCCATGCATGTAGATTGAAAGGTGTGGCATCCATGACTGGATGGAATGAGTGTCAGCAAGAAGACCATGTGAGAAAGAAGCTTCACTTTTTCTTTACTAATCAGCAATATATGATAAACTTGCTGACAAAAAAAGTTGCTGCCTTTGTATATTTAAGATAGTATAGGTACTTTAGTACCTATAACCCAGCAAGTTGTTGCTCTAGCGCTGCACAAACGAGTGACCTCAACAATTTCAAGTAAGTATAACTCTTCATCAAGTAAGATTTAGAGAAATCTGTTCATAATTTTTGAAGGCCATGTTCTAATCTACTGAAAAATGCTATCAGCTATCTCTAAAGTGCCAACACAACGGAACTTGGCCCAACTACTCGATTTTCTTACTTTGAAGCTTCTGTACCTAGCACTTGTATTTGAGCAACACAAAACAGTTAAGAAAGACTTTTCCACGTCAAAAAGAAAGATCTAGGAGCTTAGAACACGCTGTGCTAAAGTTATTGTTTATTAAAAACAAATTTCAGTTGTACAGAATGAATGAATGAATGAATGACAGACACACACAACAACTACCTATACCTCGCGTAGGCGAGGCCAATAAATCAATTTTACATACTTAATAACCACTAACATGGATACAACACAATGAATAATTAAATTCTTATTAGTATCTCACAATTACAATAAGAAGACTATAACTATTTTAAGCTACTATAGCCTCAAACACATTCTCTTCACTACTTAACATAAATCTCATAATAACTAATAGGACTGTCTTCTTCATTAGAGCTTAGGCTAGCACACACCCTCAACTCAATATAGTCAGTAGTGGTAGTGCTACCATAGTCTCTGTGAAACCATGGGATACCAGTAACATTACAACAAGGTGATTCAAGAGAACCACAACCTTGACCATCCCAGAGTGGATCAGATGTGTAGAGAATCTGTGATGGGCTACTATTAGGATTCCCTGATTCACAGAAGTAGTTGTTACCAATAAAAGACTGCACTGATACTGAACTACCAGTATTACATGGACATGACCATGATTCGAGTTCATTATAACTATTAATTAGTGACCAGACATGTTGACGAGGAGATCCACGAGTGATACTAACACCTTCAAGATAATATGTATCAATACCTGAACCATAAAGACCATCAGTGTGACCATATTGATATCCTGTTACTCTACCACATATCTGAGAATAACTGATACCATTAGATGGGAACTGAACTGATACACAGCTACCACTACTGCTATCTCTACCACAAGCTCTAACTCCTCCTGACTGGTACAGTCTAAACCCAGAAGGACAGTTCTGTGTAGCATCAGACATATTCAGATATGCTAGTCTTGTCCATCCTCCTCCTGAGCCACATGGTTCTGGTAATACATTAGTCTGATGAGGCATAACACTAGAAGAAAGGGGAAAATGTACTGAGCTAGTCTCTATTGGTAGACTGCTGGTAAAAAGTATCTCAGTTGGTTGGACAGTGGAGGAGCTGTCTGTTGATTCACTGCTGGTTAATACAGTCTCTGTTGATTGAATGCTGGAGGGATTGACTATAGATTCCTGTGGCTTCTCCATATTACAAAATACATTTCCTTTGCCTATTATATTATAATATCCTGATGAACTCTCTGGCCAATAATTCTTAATATCCTCACAAGATAAAGTAGCTGCTGCCTGACAAAAGGATGATTCCTCATCATTAGCTAATATAATATACAGTACAGGTCATTATAATGAAGATATTGTACTAATGATTACCTGAAGATATGTTAAAGCAGTGGAGTAGGACAATACACAAGAGAACTGGTCTTAACATTTTAAAGAAAGAAGGTATTCAAAAAGTAACAAATTATAGACAGTGTTGATATGAAAAACCTCTACTNCATAATGACAAAATAGCTATTATAGATACATTTAAGTGTCACAATTTCCTTCATATTAGTAATAACATGTAATCAAGTAATTCATCTACTCTTGGTAAATATACACTATACTGTCAAAAGGAAAGGAGATTCTTGGCCTATAAGTATGAAAACAACATGACCTGCTACCAGCCACAAGGTCTGCAAGATATCAGACTCATAACTCTTACTGTATATTGGAGTACTGCATGGGTATGCATAATCACAAGGAATACCTCTAGTCTCAATTCTGTTATCTACAATATGATTCTAATACCTGGAATATAAATACTATACATACTGCACCTTAATTTCACCCATGTTATTACCCACATTTTTATTATTATCATGTTGTTATTATTACTGAAAATACTTCGATGATTTTGCATCATTAATTAAAAAAACAAACAATACAATAGTAGTTGTGCTATTCTACATTTTATGCAATAGCATCTTAATGATCCTTAGACGACAATTAAAAGAACGAACGATCGTTATAGAAGCGTACAAGGTAACACATCATAAAGTACACACACTAGCTTTTGATACAATGTATTGATCAGAGCTTGTTTAAAGAAAGGACAAAAGGACAACTGTCAATTAATATGCCGCACACTATTGACACGCATAGAAAATATCGCAATAAACGTATATGAATTTTAACTGTACATCTACATTTATATGTACTTTAACCACACAAGTTAATTTGAGAAATATTACAGTACTTTAGGTGCTTACTTTAAGTGCCGTAATGACAACGTCTAATGATATTCGGTCGTTTTCAAATAAATACGAAAAGAATGAGAGAAATGACTCGTTCAATTTGCTCATTATAACCTACAGCAGATAATAAAACATTTTTATAATAAACAGAAAACGCTAAACTAATTCCAGCAAATATTTGGTATATTTTAAATTACGTATACAGTATACGGTACATAAATTTTTGCATGACAAAGGCACACAATGAAAAATTTTATTAGAACTTAAACCCACTTAATTCCAGCAAATATTTGTATATTTTCATATAAATTTTTGCATAGAAAAGCACACAATAAAATTCTGTTAAAATATTAAACCTACTTGTCCTAATAGTGTCAGTGTGCTATCTCTACTTAGCAGAAACTGAGGGTTGGCCTTTGACCAGGAGAGGAGAAAGGAGTCGGTTACATTAGCAAGTGTCTTGAAAGCTTTTTCTCTGTCATTTAAATCGCAAAGGATCTTTACCATTGCCATGCTAGTGATATTCTTGGTTCTAAAATAAAATAAAGTGATATGGAAATAATTATATGGTAGAGAGTGTCTATCATGTGTTGTTATGTTCAAAAAAACACAAATTTACAATTGATATATCTTTAATGCTTACTTTTCTTGTTGTGATAAGTTTGTAAGTAGTAATTCACAAAATTCAAGAGCTTTTTCTAGAAAAATAGAGAAATAAGTTTAAAAACTCCAGGATCTTCAACACTTGCAAGGATGCATTGATGGTTCAGTGGTAGAATTCTCGCCTGCCACGCGGGAGGCCCGGGTTCGATTCCCGGTCAATGCATATCATTTTTTTGTATTTTTTTCTTTACCTTTTGATTCAACTTGCAACCATGAATCAAGCAGAAAATCCCCCAAACGTTCAGGATCATACTTCGCATACAACTGAAGAACATCATTAACTAAAGGTTGCAACTAAATAGATAATATTTTTATAGTTATCATTACTGATAAAAGTGGTATCATGATTACCTGGTCAAGCTGGTCCAGCCTGTTTTTTGGCTCGAAAAGAACCAAGTTTAAATATTTCATTAAAATATCAAAAGGAGTGGTAGTCGGAGCCTACATGTACATAATAAATAATCAAACCTACACTTTCTTAATCACTCTCTCTCTCTCTCACCCTCCCTTGATAACTTATGAATAATATCATTAATGTAAAAAATATTATGCTACAATGGCTATTACATGTATATACAGGCTATTATGGCAAAATTCAAAAGTTAATAATTCTCCACTTTTATAACTTTATTTGATACATATACATGTTCTTATGTTGTGTAGAAAGTTTGAGCTGATTCCGATTAGAATTGGATTTTTTACGAATTTTTAAAGTTGCTCCAAAATTGGACCAAAGATACAGGGTCTCGGTCAAATTATGCCAAAAATGAAAAGTAGAGAATTCTCCATTTTTATAACTTTATCTGATGCATATACATGTTCTTAAGCTGTGTAGAAAGTTTGAGCTGATTCCGATTAAAATTAGATTTTTTACGAATTTTTAAAGTTGCTCCAAAATTGGGTAAAAGTCCCTGTACTATATATAGTACAGGGTCTCGGTCAAATTTTGCCAAAAATAAAAAGTAGAGAATTCTCCACTTTTATAACTTTATCTGATACATAAACATGTTCTTATGTTGTGTAGAAAGTTTAAGCTGATTCCGATTAAAATTGAATTTTTTACGAATTTTTAAAGTTGCTCCAAAATTGGGTAAAAGTCCCTGTACTATAGTACAGCGTCTCGGTCAAATTTTGCCAAAAATGAAAAGTAGAGAATTCTCCATTTTTATAACTTTATCTGATGCATATACATGTTCTTATGTTGTGTAGAAAGTTTGAGCTAATTCCGATTAAAATTGGATTTTTTATGAATTTTTAAAGCAACTCCAAAGCCATGCAGTCCTTGCCAGCTACTGTATATCAAGCTTTGTGGTAAACCCTGGATATAGCTGATATATAACTGCCTTTGTTTAACATCTCAGGTATCAGATCTTACATTACCAATACAATACACTATTTCATGTACATGTACATGTATGACTAACCTCAGAATATTTATCTTTAATATGTTGTATCACGTCACTGATTGGTTTGCCAGACAGCACAAAATAAGCAGCTGCATTATTGAGTGTCTTTTCTCCCACGGAGTAGAGACAGAACGAGTCGGCAAGATCAAAACAATTCCGACGCAACTTCTCTGATAGTTCACCAGAAGAATCATCATTCTCAATAATCTATAGAAAAAAATAATTATAATAATATATGAGCATGTACAATACATGATGGAATTAACACACTGGTACATTCACATTGTATACATACATGTACTATTAATGTCATTGATACCATAAATTGGGTAATTTTCCCAAGGTTATACATTATTAATAATAAAGAATGAACAATTTAGATTTTGGGAACACTATCTATAATCAAAATAATAATGGTATACTAATGAACAATTTATGTCTATTTTTAGTAGCATGGTACATACTCCCAGTAATGATTGGACTGACTCTTATACTTATTATAGTCACATTGTCATTGTGTGTGTATAGCAATACTACACTTACATGTACACATGTATTTGTATTTGTATTTGTCAAGTGCTTACTAGTGATCTCAGTAGAATGTGAGCTTCTGATAGATGATGCTGCAATACTGGAGGAATACCAGCACCTAATGACTGGGCTGATTCAGACTAAATAAAATAAATAAATAAATAATGACAGACAGAAATTTAACATAAAATAATATTAAAAATATTAATGATGATACATGTAGTAGTTTCAATACTCATTCAAGTAGTTTACTAATTGCAATTCATTGTACTTTTAGTTTTGATCTACTTAATGTACATATACATGTACTGTATGTACATGTACACACTTACAAACTGCTGGAACATGTCAGTAACTGGTTTCTTAACTAATACATAAACATTCCAAGCAACTGTTGATAACACTTTAGGACGTCTTAAGGAAAGAGATTGCCTACAATAAGAAATACATATGTACATGCATACATGTACTGATTATGTACACTAAAACTTAGCTCTTTAATACCCTCCTTTTCATCACTTTTTACTGTATCAAAATGTACATGCATGTAACTTTTCTCACCTCTCTCTCTCCTCCTCCTCCTTTTACATCCCTCATTCTCCCCCCACACACTCTCTCTAATTATCTTCCTCCCTTATCCCTCCCTCTCCCTCTCTCTCTCTCTCTTTCTCCCTCTCTCTCTTTCTCCCTCTCTCTCTCTCTCTCTCTCTCTCCCTCTTTCTCTCCCTCTCTCTCCCTCCCTCTCTTACAGGAAGGATGGTTTCTCGCTTGATGCTGGGCTAGTATCAGGTGAGGTATCCTTGCAGAATACAACAACATGATCAGTGGATGATGTCAGGGCCATGCAACCGAGAAACTTATTGGAAGAAATGAGAGTCAACTCAAGAGAGGAAGGAGGACAAGGCTATGGAAAAAGAAAAACAAAGCCAAGACATGATATTATATTCTAAATACAGTGTACAGTACATTGTACATTGATTGAAGTTTCCCACAGGATTTTGGCATTAAGCTTGGCAAGCATATTTTTATTAATTTTACAACTTCTCCAAAAACATGTACTACTGTATTGTAGCATATCTATGATTGTAGTGCTTGTCAGCTCATGAAGCTCATGCTGTTTAGTTCACTTAGCATGCTTTGTGGGAAACCCTCCATACATTATAATACATTATACACATTATTATTGTACTTGTTTGAGCCATTGTGTAGTGTTAATGTGTCCAGAGGCCACTGGTTTATTAGCCAACACACTAGCACTGATCCTGCAGGTGTAACTATCCAGTGACTCTGCATCAGTTGATAATGAGTGAAGAAATTGGCCATCATACGACATTGTCTGACATCTACAATAAATAAGGAAAGAAATTATTCTTCTCTAATTTAGTGAGGAATAATTATTTTAAATGCTAAATAAACTAAAGTATTAAAAATTTCCTAAAATTTTTTCACTAAATTGCCTGCATAGATGGTGTTCATTTTCTTGAAAAAAATTTTTACTTACAAAAAATTTACATTTTACCTTGTCATAAAGGATAGAACTGTGACTTGTTTTGTTTTATTGAAAACGTCGTAAATATAACCCTTGGACCTGTTAGCAAATAAACAAGACATCCCAACCAACTTCCTCTCACCAAAAGAATCTAATAAAAATACATAAAAAATGAAATAAAATAATTCAATTTTTATAACAAGTAACCTTCAGATTCATCATGTAATATACATGTACATGTATACATCCATATTAATATGTTGTACATGTAATTAATATTTCTTGTGTTTTATCTAACATGTACTTTATGCTGTGTTAGTTTGTTTAGTTTTCAATTAATGAAAAAAAATTAAAATATAAAAAAAGAAAAAACATGCATATGTCTCCTTACCTTCATTAGTGAATGTTGGTACTAGCTGTACGCTGTGTATTCCTCCTTTGGTTCTTGATTTAGTATAAGGAGCAGAGACACTATCCCAACCAGGGGCTCCATCAACACTGCTGGATCTATCCCTAGTCTCACTGTTAGCTCCGGACAACGAAGAACTCGTGTGAACGTAAGAAAACCCTGACGAAGCCAGTCTCCGATACAACATGGTAACGACCCAGCACTTGGTTTCTTCATTAGCCCCACCCCCTGTGTCCCCGTGAAGTACAACGGATACCGGCTGGCCCCATATGTATTCAACTGGTCCTAATATCTCAAGCTCGGTTTTAGATGAGTCTTTTTTAAAGGAGGACGAAGATGAGGAAATGCTCGAGATGCTTATAGTACCGATGAGGGGTGTGGTCTTGTCTTTTAGAAAAGGGCGTGGCAGGTTTGGCTTTGTTTTATCGTCCAGTGAAGAGGTGGGAGTGGTAGATGGTTCGACACTACTCCGCCCTCTTGCTTCTGTCTCCCAAACATACGATGGAGACCAGCAGAGAAAATCCTCATCGTTTTTATATTCTTCGTGGCCGTGTTCTTTATGGTCAGGGGGTTGTTTCCGGGTCCTTGTACGAGACGAGTCCAATTGAAATTGCTCCCAAGGGAGCTCGACCCCCGGGGGGCCCAACATTAAAATTTTCAATACCCGGACCCGATGTGTGGAAACGCATGCAAGGTAATGCCCGCAGATGCAAATCTTTTTTAATTTCATGTCAGTGATGACGTCCATGTAAGTGACGATACAAAATCCCCCCGTGGAGAGGGAGGCCGAGGGAACATCCCCTCTTCCCCTCTGGAGTGTGAACAGGTGGACCCTTTTCTCACTACCCACGGCTATGGTCCCCGTCAACTGGCAAACAGCGAGACAGGACACTCCCTCAACCGGTAGCTCCAATATTTCGGCGTCGACCACTGGGGGAAGAATCATCGGACCCCCGCTGGTTTGGGACGGGGTCGTAAGACTAATTACACGCGTGGGCGTTTCAAGCTCTCGTATGATCCTCCATTTAAAGTATATCCGTACAGTAGCTGGTGAATCAGGAGTACGTCGTTCAAGAGACACTATACAGTCCCCCAGCGGGTTATAGACCAGCTCTGATACTGGTTGGATGGTCCTCATTCGGGCCATTTTCTCGTTCTTCTGCAGGTCGTGGGCTTCTATGAGGCATCCCTCGCAAGCTATGAAGACGTATTTTTCTGAGCAGTGAACGCAGAGTGGCTCTGCTGGAGCGTTGAAGATGTTCTGACGCTCAAAAAGAGTGAAAGCTGCTGGTAGTACCTTGACCATCTTGACTTGCACACGCCTTCTTGTCCTTTAAAAATAGGCGTGGAGGTTAATAGCTCAAAATTAGCCACGCCTAAAACTGCTGAAATTTTTATTTTAAAATTTTACTAATTATTCTAAAGGTATTTCTAACTTATTACAATTAGCAGTCTTTTAGATCTTCTCCTCTGTTGTCTAGAGAGCAAAGACGCTAAATTAAGCTACTAAAGTTGTGAAAGAAAGAAATAAATTTTTAAGGTAGCGTTTGACCACACCCCTATTAATTATATATACATGTAATTTTTATTTAAATTTCTATTTACTTTACTATGCTTTATACATGTACTGTTGTACACCATATAGCTCCAAATTTCAATAATTATTTTTACCAGCCATAAAAATTACAAGTCGCTATTCAAACAGCTGTACATGTTTTGAATTTTCATTCAAATTTTCACAAAAATTCAGAGCTATAATACGCTATTTTGTAGTACTTAATAGATTAGTTTTAGGCTAGCTCATTAGCACTGCATGCATGGGCTGTGTCATACTGATAAGTGAAATCTTAAGGTAGGCATCCTGCACTATATGCAGCACTGATTGTTGCTTGCAACTTGTGGTAAACCCACTCTGATCGGGTTGTGCAACATGTTGCATGAAGCAGAGAAACTCTCTCCTTCATGCAATATGTTACACAACCACATCAAAGGTACTGGAAACAAAGTTGCATAGTGGATGCCCATGCACCTTTATGTGTAGTATATATGTCAATTTAAGCTCTTACGGACTGTATGTGAGGTGCTTCTCAGGTCATGTACTGTGATTTCATTTAATTTCCTGCACTATAACTGTAAACAGACATTTTTGGAATGATCATTAGATGAAGCCAGACACTACAAACAGTTGAATAATTAACTAGCTAACATAGTTTTCAAATGAGTAGTCAAATCAATTAGTACTTCCCATCAAATCAATTAGTACTTCCTACCTGCCATTATCTCATCTCATGTGATTACAATAGTCTGAACTTTGGAACAACTCAGTTTAGCACAAACATCCTCAGGAATTTACTGAATTTATAATCCTGTCCTGTTGTGCTTTATTGTCATTCTTCATTTTTAAAAAGAGTACTTCAGTTCTAAAGGAAATAGAAGTCCATCTATTACTGCACTCTACTGTCAAGCTGGAGTCATAGTAGCTATGTCTCTCCTGTTAGTGGTTGTTCTCTTATTCTTCAGTAGCTCCTGCAGTGTCTCCTCTGGTCAGTATTATGTGTCTGATGACTGCAGTTCAGTTACTCAGTCACCTTGTCATCCTTTATCAGTGTATGCTGGAAATATGTCTCAATACAATAACACCATCTTCTACTTCATTGGGTCTATTAATATTAAGTCTAATGTCAACTTGATTTCAGTGGAAAATGTTACTCTTCGTGGAACAAAACATTCTAGAATCAACTGCATTGGCAATCATTTTTTAATCAAATACAGTAGCCACGTCACTTTCTCCCAACTCCTTTTGTACAGCTGTGACATTCAGTGTTATTACTCCAATAATTTTACGGTTGAGAATTCTGAGACATTTGAGAGCATTTATTTTGAAGCAGTCAACGCATTTGATTTCAAATTTTTATCGACGACTTTAAGAGCAAATAGTGTAACCTTTAATTTCAATAAGCAATGCGGTAACAGTGAGTTATTAACTTACAAATTGAACTTTACTAATGTATATTTAGTTGGTCAGTTACTCTTATATGTATCTCAAGGGGCGTCATACAACACGTTGGTTGTTCTTGATAATACTTTTGTTCATGGTCATCTCAATCCGACTCGATCATGTGTCCATGTATATCATAGAAATTCCCTTCTTTCATTCTCAGTAAAAAGGTCTTCATTTCATAGCGGCTGGTATGGGTTTTCTCTATTTTCTCTTGCCCTGGAAGAATCAAAGTGCGCTTTTTCTACCACTCAGCTATTGTGTACTATTTCATTTGAAGACAGTCATTTTTACAGCAATAAAGTTGCGTTCTTTATCAAACCAAATCTGATAAACAAACATCCACTTTTTATTCTGATTAAATCATGCTCAATTCGTGATAATACCCATTATGGTTTAAAAATTGATGTTAGCCTGTTATCATCAGTCACCATTAATATTACCGATACAGAACTGATCGGTAATGCAGCAAATTATTTAGTAAGCTGTCACTCAATTACCTTGAGTAATGTGACAATTGCTAACAGTCTTTTGACAGGACTAACATTGAGACAATCAATAGTAACAGTGAACAATAGTTTAATATTTAGAAACAATACAGGAACCACTGGAGGTGGACTGTCAATTACTCATTCATCCTATTTCATAGTACTTCCTCAAGCTTCTTTTGAGTTCATCAATAATTCTGCTACTTATAAAGGAGGTGCATTCTTTTGCGGCGGCCCTTTCTCTCATCCGTTTGTTTATGCTGAGCCACATAGAGACCCGCCTCCATTAATACCACTTACTTTCTCAAACAACACTGCAGTAACAGCAGGAAATGACATATACGGCTTTTCCATATTTGGTTTTTCTCTTGCTAATGTGTCTGTATCCTTCTCATTGATTAATGACCCAACCATCAGCTCAACTACTGATGCTGTCAGAATATGTTTTTGTGACTTTACTCCAATGCAATATATTACATGTCATAATAATGTACCTGAACAGCATATTTTTCCTGGCCAAAAAGTAAAATTTAAGGTAGCTCTTTTTGGTTATAATAGTTATGGTGTGTCATTGAGTTTGACTGATGGAGCGGTGGATCTTTTGATTGATGATATAAAAGTGTTTCCTTACTCCTTGCAGGAAGCTAATTGTTCATATTTTGAATATTCACCAGCTCAGTTTATCTATACAAGGCATAAGGTAGTACACTCACTTCCTTATAATGAGTTAGTCAATAATTTTGCTGCCAATTCCCACATTGTGAGTTATTATACTTTACATGAATGTCCCATTGGTTTCAGTATGGACAGCAATTTAAGGACTTGTACTTGCAGTCAAGGTGTTTCTAGAGAGAATGTGACTTGTGATATAGCTAGTCAAAACATCACACACAATGGTCTACTGTGGATTGGAACATATGATACCAGTACACCTTTCAATGCTAATGCAACCAATCCTAATGCATGCATTATCAATGAGGACTGTCTTCTCTATTGTTCTCCTAATCCAGTTACCTTTCAGTTGAATGACACTGATACTCAATGTGCAGATAATAGAGGACAGAGAATGTGTGGATCTTGTAGAGAGGGATACAGTGTACTAATGGGATCAAGCAAATGTGGACAATGTCATAATAATTACATGATAATAGCTTGGATTGCTCTGTTTGCAGTGATGGGTGTACTACTTGTGGTTCTACTGATTGCTCTCAATTTAACAGTATCAGTGGGTACACTGAATGGTCTATTGTTCTATGCTAACATTGTCAAGTTATATGAGCCAGTCTTTTCAAGGAAAGGAGCATTACCTGTGTTGAGTCAAGTGATATCGTGGATTAACTTAGACTTTGGGTTTGAGATATGTTTTTACAATGGTATGGACACTTATGCTAAACAATGGCTTCAGTTTGCTTTCCCTTTCTACCTGTGGTTTGTCATTATTGTTATTAAACAATTGTGTAGGAGATATGGTAAGATATCAAGACTGATGGGGTCTCATACTGTTCCTGTTCTATCTACACTCTTCCTTCTTTCATATACTAAACTAGTATGTACTATTGTTGTTGTACTACACAAGCGTGAGGTAACTCTTCACTGTACAAATGAGTCAGTAAGATCAGTTAGTTTATGGTATGACGATCCTAATGTTGAATATGCTAAAGGAAAACATGCTTGGCTATTTGGATTTGCCTTGTTTGTTTCTATTATCTTTGTCATACCATACACACTGTTTGTTTTATTGAATCCTTTCATTGAGAAGTACCTCTCAAACTACAAATTGTTCCGTAAAAACTGGAGTCATTTCAAGCCTATAGTTGATGCTTATAGTGGTCCAATGAAAGATGAGTATCGGTTCTGGCCTGGTCTACTGCTAGTGGCTAGGATTCCAATCCTTGTTACTGCTACTTTAGTAGCTGACAGTTTAATTCAGGCACATTACTTCATATTATTCTTGCTTTTAACAGTGCTAGCTATAGTATTATCACTCGGGTATATTTTTAGAGGAGTCTATAGGAAACGAATGCACAATATACTAGAGGTTTGGTTCTTGTTCAATTTATGTATGATGGTTGGTTTCTCTGTAGCTTATACTGATGACAGTGTGGTAGAGATTTGGTTCAATACTTGCTTGTCTCTTTTTACTGTCAGTTTTATGTTAATTGTACTGTATCACCTGTACTTGCAGCTGTCACAAGCACCCTGGTATAATATACTCGTGAGGAAATTGTTTTGTAAGCTTTGTGATGATGATGGTGATGATGATGAGCCTCTATTAGATGTAACTGATTCTCATAAAACTGTTGATGAGCAGAGGAATGATATTGTACCCAGTTCTACTGATGTCTTTATGCATCGCAGGGAATCTGTTGTTGACCTGTTTTGAAGTACAAGATTTATGCATACTAACTTAATATTTGTTTTTGCTTAATTTATCAATTTTTGTTGTTAATAATCAGTTAGCATAATTTTTATTATAATTTTCAAAATATTGGCCAGTCTTGCTTATAGTCACAGTTAATAACAGCAATGGCAGTATATATTCATGTATAATCAAGTATGCAATGTGATGTTGTGTTGTGTTCGTGTAAGTGTGGGGATTGCATGTATTTAATGTAATGTTTTATATATGCATCAATGTGTATATTGATCTGTACAAGTCTCTGCAAGTAAGCAAAATAGACAACAAATGTTAAGAAGGATATAGATATACATATTCATGCCCATAATTTTTTGGCCACCAGCAATTAGCGTGGGCAAGGATAATAAACATACATGAATGTCATTATTATGTTTATCATTTGTTTGACTTTGTTTGTGACTTTTTCGTGCATGTGTGCAATGTCTGAATTATTTTTATTTAATGC